GCATTTTCGGCAAATGCTTCTAGCTAAACAAATTAAGACTGGCCGCCAGAACTGTCAGAAAACACCTTAAAATTTCAGCTTTCAAGCCTCCCTGGCTCCTGAGTTAGCAACTTACTGGAAAGAAAATTTTCACGGGCCCGTGCGTGGTTACCACGCATACCCGAGAGTTAGGTTTAAGCTGAATGAAACTTAGGTGGACGGGGTATATCCTCTTAAAATTACAATCCTTTAGCTTTTCAGGTACTCGAGTTATAAACTTACCCGAAAAAAATTTTGGCGGACTCGCACGCGGGTACCACGCTTACCCGAGGGCTGGGTTTGAGCCCACTAATACCCACTTGGACGGGGAACATCTTCCTAAGATTTCAGCTTTCTAGCTTCTCAATGAACTTACCCGAAAAAAATTCTGGCGGGCTCGTGCGCGGGTACCACACTTACCCGCGGGCTGGGCTTCAGCTCATCAGTATCTACTTGAAGGGGGAACATCCCCTTAAAATTTCAGCCTTCTAGCTTTTCTGGTTCGCGAGTTATCAACTTACCCGGAAAAAATTTCGGCGGGCTCTTACGTGGGTACCACGCAGGTAAGACCACCCATTTCGGGGGTGGGAGCCCGTACCTGCATGTAGATTATGTCCCCAAAGTTTCAGCTCTGTGGCTTTTGCCGGTCTCGAGATCAAAATTCGGTACAGACGAACACAGACACACACACAGACAACCCCTCGTCAATATGCGTTTTTTGCACTGCATAGATACAAAAACGCATAAAAACTAAAATACAAATTGTGCTCTCCCCCTCCCTTCCTCTCCCTCTTCCCCCTCCCTGTACCATTCGCATTCTTTCGCTTGGCCAGCGGAAGATTGGCAGTCGGAGAGGGCGGGACTGTCGGGAATCGAAATAAATAATATGGCGACGGGACGATCCGAACTTTCCGGTGTATACCTGCAACTTTAGGTCACGACTGAGGGATAAATGCGACGTCCTCAGCAAATGTGAAATACGGAAACCGAACATGAATTAACCGGGGATGATAGTGTAGTGGTTTTAGCGAGCATGAGGAAAGGACATGGCAGTGTTGGCGGAGTCGGGTTTATTGTCAGTGCGAAGTAGTCTTCAGGAATTTTCTGTTACCTTATGTTATTCCGAGTCGGCGCATTCCTGCTCAAGCTAGATGCGCATTAAAAACCTCGAAAACCCGGATTTATATGTCGGCTGTGACCAACAACTGTAGTATTGAAGAGTTTCTTCTGAGCTCGAATTAATCCTAATCACTGGGCCTACATATACGACTTCAGAGAATAATTTAGGCAAGGGGAAGGTTGGGAACGAGTAAGTTGGCAGGAACATTACTGGCGTTAGTTTTCCACACTGATTATTCAAACGGTCTAGTTGTTATTAGTATAAGAAAATCAAACTGAAAATAATATTTTGCTGCATCAGTGGAAGGAGAGATGGGGATTTAGATCAACGCTGCCATTCCCAATATTAAGCTGAGAGATGCTTTGAAAATGCACTGAAACGCCTGAAACGAAACGTGCCCTTAGTCAAAACAGAATTCAGAAATAGTCATCGCGTTTCACTGAAATTAAAGGGGCGTAGCGTTCAATCGTGACTTGAGTGATAGCGCTTTTTGGCATATTTTTCGAAGTACCATGAGTTTCAGTCGCAGTGGGTGATTTTAACTGATATAACAATAGCGCATGTAATTGTCCAATGTAAGTTTGTGGCCTGAAGAGGCGAGCAGTTGCCAGAGGTGTAGATTTGACACATTGTTTTTCATTCAATGGAGCTCCTGGAGGAAAAACTGCATTCCATATTCCTGTTGCATCTGACTGTTCCTATAGAAGTATGCGTATCAAAAAGTCAGTCTGAGTTCCGAAGCGCAAAAAAAAGTACGGCTGGAAACGGAAAATGACGTCCCCCTCCCTCCTCCCCACTCCTCCCTCACCTTCCCTATCATCGATTGCGGAATCCAAACGGTATCATTGCTTACTTCCATCGTGCCTCTACCTCTCAGTCGTTTATCTCAAAGGGTTTTTTTTAGTAGGATTTGTGTTATTTTGCTGCAAGCGCTGTTGATCGAGAGGTTCTAGATTTATGACAAATTTAGAGGGATGCCATTACAGTTTTCGTTTTCAAAAAGCATTTCCAGTAGAAATGTAGTTACCAAGCCTGCACGGCATTGTAGTGACCGAGCCTGCACAGCTGTAGTGAATGCTTGCTCCTGTCTCAACTATCATATATCGCTGCAGCTCAAATTTTTGCTTGTTACAGGTGCTCTAGAGGAAGCCGCAGCAGCAGCGCCGGCGATGGCCGTGGCGGCGACAGCGACGGCAGGAGGAACCTATCCAGAACATGTGGAGCTACCATTCCCGGCTTTGTCACCCACAATGGATACGGGTAAGGTGGTTGCGTGGCATAAACAGGTCGGTGATGAAATTGCGGAAGGAGATCTGCTATGCGACATTGAAACCGACAAGTCAGTGATGGCTTTCGAAACGACTGAAGAGGGCTTTCTTGCCAAAATCATCTTGCCAGAAGGAACAGCTGGTGTCCCAGTTGGCAAGGTTACTAAATTTATGAACATTCTAAAACATAGTTTTAAATTTTATTGCATTTAGAGTGCATATACCCAGAAGCAGAACAAACCTTGCATATATATATGTATACATGTATATATATACATATATATATGTATATATATATGTATGTATATATAGTTTCCAGCAAAAAAGCTTCGAAGTTTTCTCCATCGAGGAAAACAGGCTGGTGACGTGTGGCCAAGAAGTGAAGAGCTCAAAATAAACAGACGCAAACCTAAAATCATACTTCGAAATTGCAACGGGCACAGAAATGAATAGGGCAACTCCGAAATTGCAACGGAAACAAAAATGAATAGAAGTAGAGGCAGCACTAAAGAGGACCGTTCTACGCGTTAGTGCTTACTCCGCTGCAGCTTTGATCTGCTGCTTGATTTGAGTATTGTCACCGCAACCACGAAAACGCAGACATTTTTGTGCATGCCTGGTTCCCGTGATGTGTGTTCAGGATGGGTCGATTCTGTCGTCAAGTTTCTCATTTTGCAAAACCGACACGACGACATCAGCAACAGTATTCGTTGCTGGTCAAGGGCACTCAGCTTCCGCAGCAATGCAGTACCATTTTTCTATGAATATGGCGGAACTATTTCTCCTAGCTCGATACGAGTGGGGCTACTATCGACATTAGTTGTAGGCAGACGACTCGCAGCCGAAATATTCAAAGCGGCTGGCAACTTGACTACACTCTCTGAAATTACTTCTACAATACGGTCAGAGGCTATTGCCACAAATCATCAGCTCGGATTGTTCTAGCTAAGCCACAAATTTATTGAGGTGCTGTCGAGTGAAGCATAGTTGTGCTAGTTTTCCCCTTTTTCCTTTGAATTGCTGGACTGCAGTTTCCATCCGCTGCCCTCGCGTACGTGTACTGTTTACCGAGAATGTCTTAGTAGCGGTTTTCTAAAGTACGGTCTTCGATCACTGTTGATATAAGCCAAGCGAGCAGTGCGTCTCGTTCAACGGAATTTACTTTCCTGTGGACATAGCTGAACTGAAATACTACTGCACATCTGTGAAGGAATTCAAAAAGCTGACAAGTAAGCTTCCTGGACACTATCCATTATTCCTCGTTGTGGTGGTGTGAGTGGAAAAACCTTTTCACAAATTTCAGCTAACTCTAGTAATTTTTTAAGCTCTTTAGTAGCTTGTTAGCAAGTGACGCTCGACATTTTAGCCGCTGTGTGTGATCTGCAAAAATCAGCAGGATGTATCAGCTTTTGCGAATTACACCCCAGAAACAGCAGGAGCTGCCACTGCTGCTGTAACTGCAGCGCCTTCGCCTGTAGCTGTGGCTCCACCCCCGGTTCCAGCGCCATCAATATCCTCGGTTGCCTCAGTGCCGTCACCTGCTGAAGACCCCGCTGCTTCTCGACCTCCTGGTGCTCGTGTTATCGCCACCCCATATGCTCGGAAATTAGCTGCTGAGATGGGTGTCGACTTGTCGGTATGTATGTTTTCATTGGCTCTGCTGTGCTGTCTTCTCTGTAATGCTTGTGCTTCATTTCGGTACTTTTAAGTATTATGTTTCTTTACTTTTGTCGTTCCTCCTATTCTGTGGCGCGTGCTTCATTGGAGAGGCGCTTTCTGCTTCGCAAATAATTGCGATGATTTATCTTGCGTTTGGTTCATTGTCGAGCTTCAGGAAGCACACTTTAGATTGGGATATTAGGTTGTTTGGCTTTTTTGTAGCCGTTAATAATTGATGTGACAATAACAATAAACCGTGGAGTGGTTTGTCCACAGCTGGAGCTAATTGGCTTTCGACAGTGCTCCTTCCCTTTCTTTCACTCGTTGCATCATGGAACACCAAATTTTATATGCATAAGGTGGAATTTCCTTTTGGTTAAAGGGTCAGGGGCCAAGGAGTTCTTTCGCACCTTTCCTTGTCGTTGTAACGCCGGTGTGTGCTTGTCTATTGGTCGTGCTTGCACTTTAAGTTACTGCTTGTTTTATACGCTGCAGGTGCGCTTATGGAGTTGCTAACACATTCATGTAGTTCTTTTTTTTTAGGAAGTCGTGGGTACAGGGCCAGGTGGACGAATTGTTGCGGCTGATTTGGAGGGGGCCGAACCGAGTGAAGAGGTAACTGAAGAACCAAGTGCCGGACCTAAGAAGCCAAGAAAGAAAGCGAGTCCTAAACGAGCTGTCCCGGGTGATCCGAAGTATAAGGACATACCACTTTCGAATATGAGAGAAACTATTGCGAAACGTCTGTCAAAAAGCAAAAATGAAATTCCTCATTATTACCTAACTTCGGAAGTTTATGTTGATGAACTGCTGAAGTAAGTTACACTTAATTCATTTCATCTCGAGACTTCCAAATTTTGAGTTTCGCTTAGTTCATCTGAAAACGAAAGCCATCAGGATTGCCTGGACTGTCAGTGTAAAGCATTCGATGCTGTGAGCTGCAGTAGCAGAGCTCTATTGGCCCTTTTGCGTGAGATCTCTACTTTTACAGTCACCCAGTGTCTTCAGTGTGTATGCTCACCGTTTCTTCCGATGCCATTCGAGTGGCCATCACCTCTTCTATTAGCTTGATCAGTAGGTTTTGAACTGATTGAGTCCGAACGCGGTTTTTTCTGTTTTTATACATTTTGTACTGTAACAGTTGCAACAAACGCATATTGTCGCGCGTTTGTTCACGTGTGTGTATGTCCGGGTACGTTTTTTTTCCCGGATTTTCAATTCAAGAACTGGAAAAGCTAGGGAGCTGAAATTTTAGGAGGACGTTCTATGTCCGCGCGCAATCTGAATATTTCCAATTCGGTTTTCAAGCACGTCTAGGCGTGAAAATTTTGGCACGACCTCTGACTCATGAGCCAGAAAAATTAGAGCTGAAATTTCAGGGGGTTGTCGCCGATAATTTTATTTTTTGGCTTCTTCGTACGGCCAAGTCCCGCTTGCGAGTGTGTGAATATTTTGGCGGGAAATTTTCTTTCATCTCCGGGAAAGCGCAAAAGAGAAAACTGAAATTTCAGAGAGTATTTCCTGCTTATGCAGCTCCGAAAATTTTATGCTCAGTTTCTGCGTATGCCCAGGTCTCATTTACTGACAAAAGTTTTGGCTGATTAGAACATTCCAGCGATTCCTACACATTTGGAGCAGTAAAGCAAAGAACATTTGTACGTGCAAACATCCGGTGGGCAGAACTGCGCAAAACGCATGTTCACACCAGTTACGCGGTGCGCGTCGCTACTTATTTTTTAGCTTCTCATATAAACTTTAATGTGGGCGCGTTGTTCGTCCCCAGCTGGTTTATACTGACTGCCAGAAACAAAAAATCTGGAATTAACATGCATATTTGGTTACACTTTTCATAAATCGACTGTTCTCAGTAGGCGAGCAACTCTTCACAGGTTGCAGTTGCCCTTATGAATGGAGATGACGGAAACGCCTTTGGCCTGTCTACTCTAGTTAACCAACACTGTGGTAGGGGCCATATATCTATATTCAAGAGTGCGAATCATGTGAAGCGGTAACGTGTTTTTATGCGTTTTTGTGCTCGACCACGGCGCCGGAAAGCATGTAAGCGAGACCGTGCTTGCGTCTATACACGTTTTTCTCTTTCAGCCGCACAACTGCATAAGTGGAAAGGTGAAGTTTTGTGGACGGAACCTAGTCCGCATATGAAGCCTCGAAATTAATTCTTAGTTCACAAGTCTCCGAATCTTCTATCCCGGGCAGAAATTTGACAAATTTTCATAACCCAAGAATCATAGTGCAAGCTCGATTAGTGGGGAAGTCTGTGAAGTCTAAAATCTTTAAACCAACCTAATGTCACTCTGTTGACCTTCGATTCCAAAGCAGATTTCGGGCAAGTTTTGTAAGTCGGAAATTTTTAAAAGTGTAAGCCTGAAAATAGATGACACTTCGCAATTATGCACAAAGCAAGGAGTTTAAGTTCGACTTTCAAACTATTATGCGTCTTCGTCTGTACTATCAGATCCAAATCCAAGCTAATTTCAAAAAATGAAGATGAATAGAGCCAGGACATCGGGATTTTTAGAGTTTATTTTGCCGTGCATTGCATCTTATCGCGCCAAGACCCTTTCTTGTACTGTTACTCGCAAAGTCGAATAATCGGCAGTCATCATAGCTACATCCCGAATCATAGTCGAAAAACACTTGTTCTTATATTGTTACAGGTTTTGTATATTATCGCAAAAATGCTTAAGTGCAATGGTCCACTAGTGAATATCCTTATCATTTTACTGCTAGACTACGTGCAAGATGCTACCAACTGAAGTAGCTATAGAGAAATTATCGGTCTTAAACGGCAACCAGGCATACCTCCTAAAACGCGAAAATCATTTGAAATCATAAAATTTGTTGGGCTGCGAGTGATGAATAAGGCTGTGAATGTGATGTTTATGCAGTTATTTTGGTTCAGATTGAGGAAGAAGCTCAATGAGGATCTGAAAGGTCAGGGCATCAAAGTGTCTGTCAACGATTTTATCGTTAAGGCGTGTGCCCTGGCCTGCCTGGATGTTCCTGAAGCGAACAGTTACTTCTTAGAAAAAGAAAAAGTTATTCGCCAAAATTTGACAGTCGACATCGCCGTTGCAGTCAAAACGAAAACGGGTCTTCTCACACCGATCGTCTTTAATGCCGATTCTAAGGTTCGTCTGTAGCGCTTTTTTGGATAAGTAAGCTTATTAAAGGAAGTATTATCCAGACTTTTTTGTAGTTTCATGATATTGACAGTGAACTCAATTAATTCTCAGTCCAAAAGCGCCTTTCTGTGTTGAATTTTTTTTAACGTAAGTTTTTGCATCTGTGCAGTGCCAAAGCGCATATTCCAGATCGGCGAAAACTGCAAAGTTAGAATTTTTGCAACTTAATTTAGCACTGTATGCGCCTCTCCTCCAGACTTAAAATAAACAGTTATGTCCACACAGTTCTTACATGTGGACACGTGAAAGATATTTTGGCGAGAAGACGATTTCTGTAGCCAAACAAGCCGGAATTGAAACTTCACAAGCATGTTCCCTGTCCATGTTCATCCCAAACTCACCCTTCACGCAAGTCTAGATCTCATGTATGGAAATTCGAAAATTCGATTTGACATTATGCCAACTGGAAGACTAAAAGCCACAATTTATAATGCTTTTTACTGCCCACATATGTTTCCCACGAAATGAAACTGAACTTTCATGTCCTTTACATTTCACTATGTGCACAACTATGAAATGTGACATTGTCAGTTTTTATGCGTTTTTTGCAACTATGCAATGCAAAAACGCATATTGTCGAGGGGTTGTCTGTGTATGCGTCTGTAACGAGTTTTCATCTCGAGATCCACAAAAGCTACAAGGCTGAAAGTTTGGTTACTTAATCTACACATAGGTGTGGGCTCGTATTCTCAAAATGGACACTCAGTTCCGCGTGGTTCTCACGTAAGAGCGCGTGAAATTTTCTTTGACGGGAAAGCGTTTTCGGGAACGGCCCATGCTAAGAGGCTGGAACTTCACAGAGATGTTCCTTGGCCGAGTCTAACCCAAAGATTTCAAATTCAGCCTTCACGCACCTCTAGGTCTCACGTAAGCACACGTCAAAGTTTGAACTGGCGTCATGCCAACTCCAGCATTAAGTTGGCCAATAAGCTGCAGAGAGTTGCAATTTTGCAGCATTAGTTGTCGCCCACTGATGTGCCTGTGAAAGTAAATTGAACCTTCCAGCCTCTCTGCATCTCACGTACGAACACGTGAAAATTTCACACATGCGCTTTTGTAACCTCAGAATTGAACCAGCGAGAGGACCTGAACTTCCTGAGCATAACCGACGGTGGCCTTTGACCAGATGCACGCAAAAACGACTTACACATCACTTTCACGTCTCA